CGCATTAGAGATTTAAGACTAGGAGAAGGTCCTGCTAGTACGAGTGGAGACGAAGCTTCACCAATTAACGCATTAGAGATTTAAGACTAGGAGAAGGTCCTACTAGTACGAGTGGAGACGAAGCCTCACCAATTAACGCATTGGAGATTTAAGACTAGGAGAAGGTCCTGCTAGTGTGAGCAGAGACCAAGTTAACCAACTATCACATCAGCCGTAACCGGCCGCTCAAGTCAAAAGGGAGGAGAAGTCTTGCCCCACAGGGAGCATATGGCACTTTTGGCAAGGAACTCAGGTGCCTGACATGCCACTGGTATAAAACTCAGATGTAAAGATAGCATCTTAAAATATGACTCGTTGCTACGTTGCTAGTGGGAGCCGAGCCGCGGACCTCGAGCTCGACATGAACGCAACAGCTGCACTAGTACCAAATTCTGTTGAATTCGCATTCTTGACGTTTAGCGAATCTCCGTGATCTGCTTAGTGAAGAACGACTCTGAAAGAATATAAACTTGATTCATAAAACATGCGTCGATGTCAATGTGCTTCAAAAGAAATCCTATAATACACGAACATTTTGAACATGAATAAATTTAAAAGTTGTGTAAGAATCGAAAGAATCCTTCAATTTTTCGACACATCTAGTCTTTTAGAAACGTCTTGTGGGAAAATTGAGTTTCATTTTACTTTAGGAGCAGTTGATGTTAATGAACTCAGTTAGCTACTCGCATCTCACGCTGACTTCATGCATGCACTAACGAAGACGAACAACAAATCCCTTCTTAGGGTTGGAAATTTGGCGCGGGACGTTAATTAAAGAGGAATCTCCAGCCTCGAGGTTACCATTTTTTGCTGCAGCTCGCATCTCTCCCTCGCTCGTGTAGGGGGAGCTAAACTTAGCAACGTGCCACCGAGAATGAAGAGTCACGACGAAAGTGCTACGAGGTAGGAAGGGGGGGGGAGGTCATAACTTAGTGTTCTCGTAAGCTGCAACAAAATCTGGGAGAAGTGAGTATTTCGTGCTGTTTGGTCCTTCCATCTTCTGTGTTTTGTAACTTCATTTGTGTTATCCAAACATTGAATTACTGCTGCCTTCTCGCGCACATTCTCCAGGGTGTGGTTTTTTTGTATTATCAATTATGGCTAGGCTATTTCAGCACTTTCACTTTCTGATATTTTTATAAAATCATTGATTTTTAACTTCCGTCGTCAATCCCACGATTTTATCAATACCTGCATTACCATCAAAACTTTATCTATGCTTTAAAAATCAGTAATTGAATATTTTTCGAATTCTCTGCAGTTAAATAAATGCTGAGATTCAAATCTGAATGGTATTTCTCATGCAATGTTATGAATTTTGACAACAGTCTACCGATAATATTAATTTGGGAGCTCTATCGAATTCCACCAATACGGCGATGATTTTCTTCGTGATAATCTAACGATAGAAACATACTTTACATATTCTTCATGCAATATAAGAGTAGATGGCCCAGAATTATGTTCGGTGCTGTGGCAAGATGCTCAAGTTTTGAAGAAGCTCCTGACAGGTTACGACTTCTAAGCAAACATCGTAACGGCTCAAAGCGCACCTTCAACCGGAAACCTGCAGCTTACGTTGCTAATAAAATTTCACGATGCTCGTCTCTTAGATATGATTCGTCGTTGCTGTTGAAGGAACTCCTCGTAATGTGAAGCTTCTTGAACGTCTTTTTTAGAACTAGCATCATTTCGCATGCCATTTTGTTGTATTCTTATGAGCGGCTATTACAACGAACGCACGGAGATAACGAAATAAAAGCTGGAATAAATAAATAGGAAATTTCTAACTAGAAATGAATTTTTCTGCTGGCTGCATTTGAAATTAGAGTCGCCCAATTATAACCTATGAAATAAAAAAATTAAACTAGTTATAGAGATATCGTGATCTGAAAAGTGAAAAATTGTAATTCGATTTTAAACTCAAAATATTCGAAGCTCAACGTTATTAATTAGCACCTCTCGCAATACCCATCAAAAAGTTCTTGTTTGATAACGCTTTAATATTAGATTAATAAAAAGTTGATAAATTTATCTCGTTTAACAATGAATTAGGATAATACGAATATCAAGGATATTGAAGCGAGCAAGCACTTAGCGTTAATAGACGCGACCGTGGGAGCGGCGATGGCGGTTGGACAATTCTTGGAAGCATGAGTGGTGTAATTTGATCACAGGAGTTATCTAATTGTGGAGCATTAGACTCTTATGGGACGGCGACTCTCCTAGCCATGAGAAGAAACTCAGGGACAAGACTACGGCGACGCGATCACATCAAATAGGATTGGTTCGGTCGAGAGAAAATGGGATGGATTTCACACTTTTTGAGCACAGCCACGTTAAAGGATCAAGTTGAAGGAAGTTGGAAACGCTATATTCAAAAGATGGAAAATGCATATGTTACGTGGAAAATGATCACTATGCTGGGGAAAAAGGGAGGAGTAAGACGAGTAATTTCATTATCTGACAATAATTTATTTAGGGAATGCGCAGGTATGAAATGCGTACAAATAACGAAATTCAATATTTAAATTACGACACAGAATATTAGACTCCTGCGTTTGGCATTTTGTTTATTCCGAGACGAGACGAGACAACAGGCTCTGTCCCGGTTCGCAATAAAAACCGGGACAATTTTCAGCCCTCCTTAAGAATTCCGGGACGATACCGAGACGAGACGAGACATCCCGGTTAAAATAGGCCCCTTAAAATTTCCCGGAATTTATAGCCATTTTAACGAGACATAAACTATATTCAAAAGATGGAAAATGCATATGTTACGGGAAAAATTATCACTCTACTTGGGAAAAGAAGAAGTGTAAGACTAGTAATTTCATAGCCTGACAATCATGTATTTTGGGAATGCGCAGGTATGTGATGGGTACAAATATCGAAATGTGTACCCATCAGCGAATGTGTAGTAAGTTTTCCTGACGAGCTCAAATTAAAAGACTGGTACGAGGTAACTCGCACGATGCAGACGAGAATTGAACAACAATAGAAGTGCTTATAAACATTATAAATATTTATATAAGTAAGCATGGAAATAACGTTCTTGTTTAAAATATGCCATTGGTCGCGTAAAAATTGCCAAAGTTAATGAAAGAATGCCTTTACCTCGAGTGCAATAAATAAAACATAACTTGTTTTACGAATATTACTATCGAGTTCACGTTAAACCGAAAAACTGAAACGTAAAATATAACTATGAGAACTTATCTTTTATTTTAGCCACTATTCAAAGTGGATTCCCATACAACATTAAAGCGAGACAGCGAATTTCATCGTACAGCCAAAAGATGTTCAAGAAAATTCACTAGCCGAATTTCTAAACGAATGAACTCGAGTCTGGCGGAAAAACGTCGGTGATTTATAGCTTCCCTCACTCCTTCCGACGCGCTTGCTGGTAAAAACTGCAATAAATTCATCATGATGTTTGAAGATCAGGGGTTTGAATCGGAGGATATTGCGTTCAATTTCTAAGGAGAAATTTAGTGACTTATTTCAGTATCACAATCTTTTGCTTACAATAGAATGAGGCTCCAACTGAAAACAAAAAATTCATGGTAACTTCGTTACTTTAGATAGCTTTAGACATTCAATGTCCCAGTTTTACCGCCAAGTTTAATTAAATCGTTTAAAACCTTCATTTGCCAAATTCGTCGGGAATTTTGACATTGTTCAATACAATATTTAAGGCTAGATTAGTAGACCTAAAATTACGAGTATATTCGCAGCGTATCCCAAACGACTCCTAGACTAATGTTCAGATAATATATGTTATAGAAAAGAATTTACACCCATGATAATTATCATGGGTGTAATAAGCCCACATAATTCCAAATTAAATTAAACTTTCAGCCACGACAAACCGTCCTTATTTCCCTCCCATGTATTCACCCAGGAAATGAAAGAAGATTGCAAAGGAAATGTTTTGAGGCAAAGCTGGAGTCGAGCCGGTCTACTCGGTATCAAAGCTGGTACATTGAAGGTCTTTAGAGCTGCTCGTAAAGTTGTAGATAGCGCCAGAATTTCCGACGACTAACAAACTTGTGAAACGCTGTTTTAGGCCACAGCGAAATTAGAGGCCATATCGCCAGCGTTTGTTAACACTTTAAAATGTGCTAAAATTTGCGAGAAAACATGAATAAAGTTTCGTTGGCAAGTAATTTTATGTGAACCCTCGAATTAAGTGTTTTGATTACACGACTTTAAGGACATAGAAACTTTCGACTGTTTCTCCAGGCCAGTTTTCTTGGTGAGATAGCTCCAGATTGCATCGGTTGGCCGAATACATATGAAATAGTTTAATTAGGATATTTCAATCTGGGTAGCTCCAGATTGCATCGGCTGTCCGAATAGCTCCAGATTGCATCGGCTGTCCGAATACTTATGAGAAATTGTTTAATTAGAATATTTTTAATTAGCATTACCAAAAAACTGGCTAAATGTGCTGTGCGGGGCTATGAAATATAATATTCCTGAAAAGTGCCGTGACTCTCGGCGAGTTTCGGAGAGACTGCCGAGTGAAAAGCCTGCCATGTGTGTGGCAGTGTTCAGTTACATTGCAGCGTCTTCCCTTCACTGATGCACGGATATTGTAGTTTTTGGTGGAATTGAGGCTTTCATTTCGGAGAAAGTGGTCAAAATTTAAATAATTCACCAATACCTACCATTACCTGCAATTGGCACAACATTTATTTCATTAGTAATTCGCATTTTATTTTATTTCAATTTATAACACCGTCCTTTTAATATGAATGTTGGTTTTGGCTCATCTTATTAGATATGATTGTTTTTATTTGTGCAATTGTTTCTGAGTACCACCGTGTAGTAAAAATTTGTTGCCACCTAACTAAACATGACACTAAACCGCTACCTCTGTTGAAGCCAAACTAGGAAACAATATCAAATGAGATTGAAATAAAGATATTAAAAAAGATAAAAAGAGATTTACTCACCTTGGCCAAAGCAATGTGTGGGAATTTCTCGAAGGTCAGCTGATGTTCTTCACCCGTAAATCCCAGTTTCTGTCCCTTAAGGATGCGTCCTGCAGTGATGGTGGACATGCCCATGCCGTCACCCACGAAGAGAATCACGTTCTTGGCGGGGCCTTTGATTGCATTCAACCGCTCCTGCAGCACCTGATCAAGCTGCTCTTGGGCCTGACGATACCAGTGCTCTTTGTCTGAGGAAAAATAAAGAATTTATAAGTCATGACTTATAATTATGGCCTATACTTTCAAAAAAGGTTAAGAGATCGTAAGTTCATCAGCCAATCATTAACGGCCTTTCATGCAAAATCCACCAATCATAGACAAGAAAATAGAGCGTAAGTACTTACGTTCACTTAGCGAGTTTTGAACGTATGGCCCAGTGTTTTAGTGATTAATTACAGTGTTACATAATAGTCATCCTTAGCAATATTCATGGAAGGCTTCTTGTTGAGGAAGAGGTAAAGAATTTTCAAGTTAGTGCCTTCGTTATCAATGAAACTATAGCATTATAGTTATCCTTAACGCTGTTCATCTTTCAATGCGTTTGATCTGGAAACCGATAAATGAAATAAATAATGCATATATAATTATAAAATAATTAATACGGTGTGTGTCCGGAACTCTCGTCCTCATGACAGAATACCAAAAATGAAGACTCAATAAAAATGAAGCTAATGGCCCCTTATAAGGGGCCATTCATTGTGTGTTATAGCTTCTCTTAACGTTCAGAATGATAATAAAAGCACAACGTCATTTATAAACCAGCATCGATTCAAATCTCCACCACGAATCACTCCTTTCTCTTTTACACAAAAAACTTTCCAGCCAAATGCCCCGTCAAGCGACGATTACATCGTCTATACGGGTCATGGAGACGTCTATACGGGTCATGGAGACGTCTATACGGGTCATGGAGACGTCTATACGGGTCATGGAGACGTCTATACGGGTCATGGACTTGTTCCATTGCATCACCATTCCGCAGCCACAAACTTGTAACGTGCGCCTTGGAATTATTAAACCTTATAGAACGTTACGCACGCGTAACTAGATTTAACACTGTTATCAAGTTTCTAAATAATAGTTTTGTAGATAAATATGAGGCAACGATTTAACAGTTACAAATACGTGTGCAAGAATCACTTAAAGAGAGCCAACACTCTTTGATTTGAGCCAACACTCTTTTTGTTAACCTCGATATACTGTGCGTGATAATTTTAATTAGAAAAAAAAAATAATTAATAGAGAGGCTCATCGGGAAGTAAATGTTACCCTTTTTAAAAAAAACGGAAAAATAGCTTATAACTTGAGACATGTCTCAAGTAATCCTTTATTTGATACAAATGATTGATTTTAGCAAATGAAGAACAGCCGTCCATCAAAGTCGACAATCCGATACGGCCTTCTTGGTTCGAGTTCAATCGAGCTGAAACCTACCTCTTTCCCGTTATTTTTTTCCCGGAATTTTCTCGTCTCGTTTCGTCTGTCCCGGTTCATTTCGAGAAAATTATTTCGAGACGCAGGAGTCTACAGAATATACTCTCTAGCTGGTCCTTCAAGGCTTTTCTGTGATTAGGAGCAGGAATAATCGACCAGTTTATGGGAAAAGATAACATCAGATCGACTGGATGTGATGACTGAAATGAGCAGCGCTTGGAATGTGTAGTAAGTTTTTCCTGGCGAGTTCAAATTAAATGACTAGTACGAGGTAACTCGTACGATACAGACGAGAATTGAACAAGAATAAAAGTGCGAATAAACATTATAAATATTGATATAAGTAAGCTTGGAAATAAGTTTTTTTTTTTAAATATAAAATTGATCGCGTAAAAATTGCCACAGTTAATGAAATAATGCCTTTACATCGAGCGCAAGAAATAAAACATAACTGTTTTACGAATATTACTACCGAGTTTACGTTAAACCGAAAAACTGAAACGTAAAATATAACTATTAGAACTTATCTTCTATTTTAGCCACTCTTCAAAGTAGATTCCCATACAACATTAAAGCGAGACAGCGAATTTCATCGTACGGCCAAAAGATGTTCAAGAAAATTCACTAGCCGAATTTCTAAACGAATGAACTCGAGTCTGGCGGAAAAACGTCGGTGATTTATAGCTTCCCTCACTCCTTCCGACGCGTTTGCTGGTAAAAACTGCAATAAATTCATCATGATGTTTGAAGATCAGGGGTTTGAATCGGAGGATATTGCGTTCAATTTCTAAGGAGAAATTTAGTGACTTAGATTTCAGTATCACAATCTTTTGCTTACAATAGAATGAGGCTCCAACTGAAAACAAAAAATTCATGGTAACTTCGTCACTTTAGATAGCTTTAGACATTCAATGTCCCAGCTNACCTTGGCCAAAGCAATGTGTGGGAATTTCTCGAAGGTCAGCTGATGTTCTTCACCCGTAAATCCCAGTTTCTGTCCCTTAAGGATGCGTCCTGCAGTGATGGTGGACATGCCCATGCCGTCACCCACGAAGAGAATCACGTTCTTGGCGGGGCCTTTGATTGCATTCAACCGCTCCTGCAGCACCTGATCAAGCTGCTCCTGGGCCTGACGATACCAGTGCTCTTTGTCTGAGGAAAAATAAAGAATTTATAAGTCATGACTTATAAATGGCCTATAAAGTATAGGCCTTATGGCCTATACTTTCAAAAAAAGTTAAGAGATCGTAAGTTCATCAGCCAATTATTGACGGCCTTTCAAGCAAAATCCACCAATCATAGACAAGAAAATAGAGCGTAAGTACTTACGATCCCTTAGCGAGTTTTGAAAGAATGACCCAGTGTTTTAGTGATTAATTACAGTGTTACATCATAGTCATCCTTAGCAATATTAATGGAGGGCTTCTTGTTAAGGGAGAGGTAAAATATATAACTCAGTACTTACTGCAGTGAGTGACAGAGAGCGCATTTTCTCGTCGACGAAAACTTGAGGTCACGGACGGACGGACAGACAGACAGACGGACATGGCGAGCACAATAGTGCATTTTTTCCATAAATGAGAAAATGCGCTAAAAATTTTCAAGTTCGTGCCTTCGTTATCAATGAAACTATAACATTATAGTTATCCTTAACGCTGTTCATCTTTCAATGCTTTTGGTCTGGAAATCGATAAATGAAATAAATAATTTATATAATTATTAAATAATTAATACGGTATGTGTCCGGAACTCTCGTCCTCATGATAGAATATCAAAAATGAATACTCAATGAAAATGAAGCTAGAGGGCCATTCATTGAGTGTTATAGCTTCTCTTAACGTTCGGAAAGATAATAAAAGCACAACCCATTTATAAACCAACATTGATTCAAATCTCCACCAAGAATCACTCCTTTCTCTTTTCCACAAAAAACTTTCCAGCCAAATGCCCCGTCAAGCGACGATTACAAGGGTGCTCTATTATGCGTGCAAATTAACGTCTATAGTTTGTTCGAATGCATCGCAACTTCAAACTGCAACAATGATTGCTGATTTTCCCCCGACCGGCAAATTAAAATTTTTGAAGCTCAATTGCAATCGGGAACAATTTTAAAAATCGTTTATATTTTAACTGGAAGTCTGATTGTTGTTTGAAGCTTAGTTGAGATCATTAATTTGCAGCTGCAATAGAGGGATATTGTTCATTATTAACTGAAAGATAACGCTGCGATCTTTGTTTTAATAGTATTTATTATACTCATCAATTCATTTTACTGTTCAAGACCGTGTAAATCCAGTGAAATTAATCCATCAGCTCGGCCATATATCGTGCATGGGGTTATATCGTAATATAACCCCATGCAATATATCGGCAATATATCGTGAAAAATGGGGGTTTGAAATTTAAAATTAATATTCGAACCACATTATTAACCAGAATGAAAACTGCCACAAATTTTAATGCCAGAAAAGATAGAGCACCGCGACAGTTTCATATATATTCCTGTATCACCTAAAATACAAGGCATGTCGGCATGGGACTATTCATTCCTATGGTTTTCTCGAGATCAGAACCTTCCTTCAAGTTACATTATGCGCTCAGAAATGCGTCTTATGTGCTCGTAAAAAACATTTATCGGCGCACCTAAGTGATGGTTATTGCACAAATGCATCACTTGGCCACTCATAGCCATCAATGTTCCTTCAAAAGAGTTCAGAGAGCAAAGTTGCGATTACGAGCTTTTCGATCATCGGCCGTACGCCGGTCCAAGGGTCGTAAGTGTTCGTGACTAGGGCTTGATTGATCTGATATTAAGGCTCTAATAATAACTTTCTACCATAAAATGAAACATATTATCGTAATTAGAGTTATTTATTATTAATAAAATGAAAACGATCGTGTTAAGGAAACTAAACAGCTCATTCATTATTCTACTTCAATTTTTCAAGATAAAACGCTGTGCATTTCAATAATATTCTGCCTCGATGATTGGGCAATATCTTGACTAACTCGTAAGCGTTTAACGCGCTCAGTATTTTCCCTCCGCTGTTTACGCTCCATAATTCCCATCATGGTTCATTTTATACGAAGTAATTATAGATTTTTAACCTCTCCTGAATTAACGCCTTACGTTTTCTGTCTGATAATAAACTCATTATCGCTAACTCAGCCGCTGATTCCTGGTATTTAGAAATGCGTAAACTTGGAAGTGGTACTTGGTAAGAGCGAAGCCTCGGCTGCTAGCTTTCATGACCCTTTTTATAGTTTGATTTTTTTGGCCCTTATTTGCGCTCACCAGACCTTAACATTATTGCAGCTCACCCTGCACAAATTTTTAAGGAAAAGTTTACACCGCTAAGAATGCTGCGATATTAAAATTTGCTGACATGATTATATAACTTTGCTTATTTCAGACAGTAAGAATGCATATGTTAAATGTTGGGGAATACTTTAAAATTTTTCTCAAACGTTGTGGATTTTCGTTTTAATGTTCACGCATTGTAGGAAGAAATGTAGGGCCCAGCATCAAAATATTTACTGGGCTTACCAATATAAATAATTTAATCACAGCACCTATATTTATTTGGAAAGTGCATATCTAAATTTGCGACTAAATTTTAAGAAATTTATCGACACGGAGGCCAACTCGTAATTGAAGACGAAGAGTCTTACTTGGATAAAAAAATCTTCTACAAAACACGAACGATTGAACTTATTATATTTTTTTGTGAACGTATTTTTTCATAATAAAATATTACTTATTTTTTCCTCAACTGAAAGGTCGCATTCATCACAAATTCACCTTCACTCATCGCAAATTCAACTCTTTCTCATTATCATTACTCTATGTCGGTGCTCATATTCACACAAGAGCCAGACACACAAATTCCCAAAATGCAGCGACGCGTTTGAAGCCAGCAACTCCACTCAACGAATCCTTTATTAAGGAAGGGCCGAGCACAAGCCGGCCGGTGAGCCGCTTTTTTGTGGCACTTGAAGTGTTTTATGGCCGCGTGTTACCCCTACACTGCATGCCGCACTAACCTGACGCCTAACCTGACGCCTAACCTGACGCCTAACCTGACGCCTAACCTGACGCCTAACCTGACGCATAACCTGACGCCTGAAGCTCAGCTACGGCCCGAGACAGCGACAATTTGTACTCGTCAAGCGACGAGCGTAACTGAGATACGCAACGAACGATCATTAATCAAGACCAACCTTGTGCCCTACCTAAATTTTGTCCTGCAACTTCGCCGAGTTTCTAAAGTTTCTGATAAAGAATTTCTTTCTAAGTGTGTTGCATTAAATTCTAAGGGGAAAATACTTTCTGTAGTTATTATTGACGACCTAAATTATTCGAAATTAGCTAATACTGCAATTCAAGTTTTCACGCATTCTGAATATTTCTTATAAATTCAAGGCGATCGAGAATAATTGAACAAAAAAAATAAAAAAATAAGTTAATCAAGCATGAAGCAAAACACCTTAGAGAGTTTTTCTGCTTAATAAAAATACCATAATTTTGATTTCATTATTCAAATATGCTTGAAACTTTTTCATAGCAAATAATTTACTGAGCAAAAAAAAATTATGAAAAAATCAATTAAATTTGGAGCTTTGCTTCCCCGCAACTAAATTTTCCACTATTATTTTCAATATAAAATCTTTTTGGTGTTAGGTTGTAAATGAAATGCAAGAAGCTGAATTTCCTATACGTTCGCGAGCGTAGACGAATTTTTCTTCAACAATATAACTACATCTAACACTATATTTTACATCTATTTTTAACTCAGATCAGTCAGTGATTTTTAGTTTTCAAAATACTAAGAGACAGTCGTTGTAAACTTGTAAGTAAAAATTTTCAAAAAATTGAGAAGCGAGCATAAGCAAAAATTTTCAAATCTCGTTAGTTTGATTGCTTACTTAGTCTTAAATCGCTTTAGTCTTGGAAAGGACGCAAGAAACAACGCTGATCTACATATACCTCAAACATCCATGAATAAATTAGATAACATATATAAGATTCGACGATTTTTAGCGCATTTTCTCATTTATGGAAAAAATACACTATTGTGCTCGCCATGTCTGTCTGTCCGTCCGTCCGTCCGTTCGTCTGTCCGTGACTTCACGTTTTCGTCGACGAGAAAATGCGCTCTCAGTCACTCACTGCACTGCAGTGAGTCATGACTTATATTTTTCTGTTTATGTTAGTCACATAACCAGTGTTTCGAATATTAGTGCGATGCAAGCAAGCCAACAAAATGCATGTTTTCGTCAAAATGAACTTCCTCCACTGCTCATATTGCGTGATAATTTGTTCAACGAAAGCCTATTGCAGAATCAACCTCCTTAAAATTATTTTAAAAAATTTTCCGGTGATATGGAGGCAAAATTAACATTGATATTTTTACGAAAGTAGCCAATATTACGAAACATCAGGGAAAAATTATTCTACCGTCTCTCCATACGAATTCCTGTAGGATGTTGAAAAGACTTTGACTTCTGTTAAATAGGAATCTTGGGCTGATGCACATACTCGTATGGTTGAAAATTACACATTTTAGATTAATATGGTATTAATATTACATTGAATGGTTATGTGATGAAATATGTACTTCATTTCAGACTATTAAGATCATATAGGTTTTGGTTACGTTAAAAATGAGGATATTTATCAACGAAATAAAATCGAGATTAAAGCAAAAAAATCTGAATAGTTTCATTATCGAATGAGATAAAATGATGAACCCTTGCTGATGCAGGCCGTTCTCTGACCTTCACTCATAGAAATGGGCGAGACTTTGTCCCAATATCGATGCACTTCTAGCGCTTGAGTAGATAATCCGGACCCAGTTTAAGCTAGGTCATCTCTAGTGTCTCACTTTTTGGACATAATGACCCATCCATTTATCTAAGTGCGTGATATACCCAAGAGTGCAGCCGCCCCAACCCAGTGAAAATTTACAGACGCGTCAGCTTCTGATTTGTAGTACCAGAAGCTGGGGCGACTCTAAATTTTGTTAGGGAACCAACCTTCAGTGCGCGGTGCGACTTCTGGCGCAGTCTCCTGAGCGTAGCATAGATACGGCAGCAGCAGCAGACACCAGACCGTCCAAGTCCAAACAATAGACCACTTAGGGCGCATATTCCTGGTCTGTTTCAGACCCTTCACACCAATAAAGTAACTCGGTGTCACATTTCCTCTTATAAACGAAACATTTTCTTTATTTTCCATCCACTGCATATTAGTTACATTTTGTTTTACATTTGAATTGTGCTGGAGAGAAATGGAATTTCTCTGAAGAAGATCGGAATTCATTTTTCTTAAGTTTAGTCGGGAGAGCTTAATTTCATCGGAGATCATTTTGTTCAATTTGTCGACTTTATGAATTACACTTCGGACTTGATTTCTCAGACATAGTTTTTCTGCAACACTATTTTTTTCACTCACTAGAATCTCACATTTTTTTCACTAGAATCTCACATTCTAGTACATGATCAATTTTATAGAAATGACGGAAATCTAGCCATTGTTGAAAAGACACGTTGAAGAAACGACGTCGTTTTCTATTTCATTAGAAGTGATCAAGCAATGAATTCGAAATACTAGCATCTGAATGGCATGGCAGTTGATAACTCTGATGTGAAAATCATTCTCTGAAACAAAAAAGAAACGATTATTAGATTTAGATTTTAATTAGATTCAATCCAAATTATCACTTGCTGAGTATGACAAATATATATTAAAAAAGCATTAGAATTATTCTAAAAATTACGTACTATACATTAAAGATTTGCATAATTTACTTTATATTTTTTATAACTCTATAGATTTATAACCCTCAATGAATCATAATATGCTTCTTACATTTAAAGCCACTTTTTCAGAGACCTTTGATCACACAGGAACAACATCACTGAACCAACCAGCCTTTACCACAAAAAAATAATAATAACTAAAAACCAAAATAATGGCCAAAATAACTGACATCGCCCTCGTGTTTAGCTACGATGCGATCTGGTCTACTCGCTGGCATCCATTGAAGATCGATTAGAATTCCGTAAATGCTGCTCGTTTTCAGCAACTATTTTACAGTTAGTGATATTAAAATACTTGGGATTCCATCCATTTTGAATAACTGCACACATATTTCTGTACGATGGAGCTCGGATATTGGAGTTCGAAATTTTCCAAAAGCATCTTCGGAACGAAGGTTTTTTCGAGTGGCACGTGTTACACTTTGGATGAATTGTGATTGAAAATGAACGTGCATTTCTATAGGTTGCCGAATTTAAAGCGTGAACTTTTATAAATTATTGTTGGTGGTTGTCAACCATATAACTTAAAATTTTTAATGTGAATTTTTCCCAGTTATTCGTGCAAGTTTCAAAAAATCAGATTTTTTATTTAATGTGGCAAATGATTTCTCAAATTCAACTTGAATTTTTATTCCAATAAATAATAGATTTTCATTGAAGTAAAATAATGAATTACCAATGACAAGCACAATACGATGTAGATGGAATAATATATATAAGTAATTTATGAGTAATCAATTCAGCAAACTGGAAGTGGCCTCAGAGTGCAATATAGTTTCTTATTATTTCCTAATATTTTGCACTAAAACTCAAATCAAATTATCAAAGGAAATAGTGAAAGGAGGAAACAGTAAATGGACACAAAGCTGTAAACTATTAAATTGTGAATTCAAACGCAGCACATCAGAAGTCCTAACCTCGAGAAGAAATCTGAAACATTACATATGTTTCATAATCACATAATATAAATCTCGGAATTTAGTCGCAATTTTCTTGGACCAAATGCTGTTTGTAGTTTCTAAAGCTAAAATTCTTTTTCAAACATTGCAGCACAACTGATTATTTGCGTACAAAATTCCGCTCATATATTCACGACGCTTAATTTCAAAGGCCTCTCAAAGCCGCTTATGAGAGCCCCTGGTGAATGGATCGTCTTTAGCAGCCTCCTCCCTCAGAGAAGCTTCATAATCACGCTCAAGTCATTTACTAAATTAAAAAATTATGTTATACGACACAGTTAACACAGTCATACTTCATAGTCTCCTGGAATAAACGTAAATTTGTCTGTTCTAAATTTTAGCAAATTTTTTAAGCAAATTACAACTTTAACTGTTATAATAAGCGTAAAAGATGATTATAAAACCAGAACTTTCGCTCGGTTCAAAAAAATTGCCTTTCAACTAAGGAACTTTTATAATCCAGTCTTGCTCTCATACATTTATAACGTTTTTAATTAGTTGAAAGCTCAAATGACTTAATTTTGCGATAATATATCAATATTTGTTTCGATCATCCGAGCATCGAGCGCTGAAGCAGCTTCTAACTATTCTCGTAAGTCATTGGAATTCTTGTACGAAAGTGACGTCGTAGAAATCTTGATATGCAGCTTTACGGGTAGTTGGAAAACCTTTCAAAACTTTCACTGGGGCTACCTCTTGGACACGACCGTACGGCTAAGTTTTGAGATTCCGTTATTTTTTGCCTCGAAAAGGAAGAGTAAGACTTTGGATTCCTTGAATATTTTTGATGGTTGAAAGAGGCAAATTCAAATTTTCTACCATTGTTTTTAAAATCAAAGCGTCCGTGTTTTCCAGTTAATAATTAGGAGCGTAGACATAATTTTTTATCCCGTATAGCAACTCCGAAAATTCTCCATCTTTTGCTTCGTACTTGAATTGAAGATGAACTAATCAACTCCCGGCTTTTTCCTCAAAAAAAATAAGCGAGGGAAATAGAATGGCTGCCTTGGGAGAACGAAAAGAACGGACTTGGCTTGTCCACAAAAGAACTGCAGGTGATTTTTTTGCGATGAAACTCAGGGCATTCCACCCCTCATGCATGTCAGAGCACGGGAAGCAACTTGAACGAGAGCTTTTTGAGCTGAGTATGAACTGAGACGTCTATACGGGTCTTGGAGACGTCTATACGGGTCATGGAGACGTCTATACGGGTCATGGAGACGTCTATACGGGTCATGGAGACGTCTAAACGGGTCATGGAGACGTCTATACGGGTCATGGACAAATGATTGATTTTAGCAAATGAAGAACAGCCGTCCATCAAAGTCGACAATCCGATACGGCCTTCTTGGTTCGAGTTCAATCGAGCTGAAACCTTAAGGAGACTTGACAAAGAAACGAGGCATCTCTTCCCGGATCGCTTCTCATTTGAAACAAGCGGCAAATGCTGCCGGGTTTTAACGATCCTCCCTGAGACGTCGGCTGACTTGAGTCAATAAGTTTGACTCCTGAGTCTGCGGAACTCGGAAAAGGGTAAGGAGAATTGCATGGAGGATGTAAGGCCAACCATGTTGAAGGAATGAACACCAGTAAATTTAATGCTATTCAATCAAGATTTTTATCTCTTTTAATTGTAGGGTACGAATGAAAACATTAAGCCCCAAGGGCATCGTTGGCTTCTATAACATTTTTGTCACATCATTTGCTTGACTCAAGAAGAGAGCTTCTTGATTTGGGTTGAGAAGAAATGTTAATCAATAATATCAGTACGAATACCCAAACCGAAAACTTTCAGTTAGGTGAAAATCTGGAATTTCAATGGTATTCTTTTTAATCGTGTAGAAAACTTATTGTTAATAATAAAAAATCGTGAAACCCGCGCAATGCATTCATTTTCCTGTATAAATTTAATCCTTTTTTTAAATGTCTCTCGTAGTCTGCGCGAACCATGAATTTCTTATGGTTAAAAAGTTTGTGGGAAATTTGCTCATGCCCCGAAATAAAAGTTTACAATAAATAAATAAATATTCGTCTCCTTCATTTTACATCACAAAAAAGTTTTTATATCTTCTGGTCGTATCAATAATAAATAAAGTGTAAAGAATTGTTATTAATAAAACATTGCGAAACCCGCGCAATGTATTCATTTTCCTGTAAAAATGTAATCCTTTTTTTAAAAAATCACTCCCGTAATCTGCACGAACCATGAATTTCTTATGGTTATAAAGTTTGTGGAAAATTTTGCTCATGCCCCGAAATGAAAGTTTACAATAAATAAATAAATATTCGTCTCCTTCATTATACATCACAAAAAAAGTTTTTATATCTTCTGGTCGTATCAATAATAAATAAAGTGATCGTCATATATCACAAGCAAAATATTTGGACAAAAATGAAAATTAGCAAGTTCTACAATAATTCTCTTTTCTATGAGTAAACGAGTATGGTAGAATTAGACATTTTTGTTATGACTTTTTGTTGTGATTTTTTTTTTGCCATTTTCAAATAATATTTAACATTACATGCGTTAGATAATATAAACGTATTAGGCGAAATGTTCATTTGCACTTATTTGATTCATTACTCGATCTGCAAGGTATCCAAAAGGTCTTAAAATTATTTATCATTGCATTACGGTTCGAACGTTGCCCAGCTATTGCAGTCTCAGCCAATTTATTGAAACTCGCAAGCTCTGTTGACAGAATACCATTAAGCTACAGTGCAAGACACTAACACTTTAAATAAACTGGCTTTTGAGCCACAAATATACCTCCAAGTTTCCTTTGAACTATTATTCTCCTCTACGACAATTAGGACCATGACTCGCTCGTTACTTTCCTATTGACAAGACACTTGAAGCTGGAGCCACATTTTCGATATATCGTGTTCGGCTAGTGACAAGATAACGTGTAAAAAAGAAAGACGTAGCATCGCTATGTTATTTTGTGTCATAGCTGCAAACGGCACGCGATAAAATAAAATGGATGCGATCGTTAGGATCTATCGGGGAGCTCTAAGGAGGGAAGACATGCGATGAAAGGCAGTTTAAGACTATCGTCAATACAAGTTATATATAAATAACCCTGGCTTGGATGGTTATTTTATGACAATAATTATTAATGTAATTCTCTAGTGTTAGCACCGGGATGATTTCTATACGTGGAGAACAGCCGGGTGCCAAGTGCGCGATAAACTTAATTTTTCAAATGAAAATGTTGAAAATGGACCAAAAAGATCGAGGGACAATGCGACAATGCAGTAAAATCTAACACTTTATTCCACGTATTGTATCACGAACATCAATAAATTCTGAAAATTAGAAAAATTCGTTGGCTAGTCAGTCGCATTCTCTCATTTATAATCAATTTAATTGGTTATCATAGTACGTGAATGATGATGCATCTTGAATAGAACTTGAATAATACGAATACTTTGATACTCGCTCTAATTTTCTAAAAAGATGTAATATTTGAATACTATAATCCTTTTATGTTTCTGCCTTGCGACTTCGCTGAATGCCATTTAATGTAAGTATCTGAGTCACTGGCCAGTAGCTAGTGCATGTAAATAAAGCATGTCATTATTTAAGTCTCTGTACGAAGCAACATTACCTCGCCGTTAGAACTGTCTCTGTGCATTAAACTCTGCACGCTTTGAAGAGGCTCTGGTAATTCCCGTAGCAGATTCTTGAGTTATGAACGTCAAAATGACGACATTCGCTTGAAAGTTCGTGTGCGCGTGTAAATATGAGCTCATTTTATATGTGATAAAAAAATTAATGTAAACTTGACGTAAATCACAGCAGATGTTAATTTTCCTATTCTGCTCATAAGTTTATGATAGATGTGGGTGGTTTTTTCGTTTCTTGAGTTAAAGCTGATATGTTAGAATACCTCGGATATGAATATATATATA